TTTGCTTCCATCATGCCACATTTACATTTGTCATTAATAAATCTGCTGTGACCAAAGAAGCATAGACAAAATTTTATTTTGAGATAGGATTAAAATCTACATTTGAATTCATTCCTGAAAATAGCATGGATCATTTCAAAAGAATTGCTCCCCCTTAATTTATATTCTAACCCTGTATATCTTCTCTGATTCAAGGACAAAACATGGCAAGTGTGACCTGATGCAAAATAATTGTTTACAACACCTGTTCAGTTTTTCAAAAATTCCAGTAATACCTTGGTCAAAATTGGGAAGTATAGAAAATTCTAATCAAGGTAATTGTTTCAATTGAATACTTGAGTTTTTTAATTCAGAATCAATGCTTAAACTTGGTTTCTTCCTCAGAGATCACTCAAAATTTGATTCAAGAAAATCCAATGCTGACAATGTGCACATTTCACAGTAACTTTGCATAAATTGTTACTTTATTTTTTGTTGTAGTTATAAGACAAGCTACATTGGGAGTAACCCACATTTTGGCTTCTTCCAGTTTGTTATATTTTTTCTTGAAGTTTGGCATATTTTTTCTTGAAGGTAAATTTTTCAGGCCCCATTTGGACAGCCCGTTATATGTCATAAATCTTTGAATTTATAATGTGTGACCCCCGGTGCGGGGCAATTTATGATGTATAACAGGATGTCCAAATGGGGCTCAATTATTGAGAACTGGAATTTTGGAATACCCTCCTTATGATTTCACTTAGTTGAAAATACAGATCAACTATACGGAGAAGTACACATCAATACAATAGAGCTATACAAAAAAACCTAACAAAGAGCTAATGATAGTATTGCAAATGCTTACATACACAGCTTCATTCATACATTGGATGGAGGACTGAGATCTAGGAGGAAATGCCACTTTCCACTGACCAGGGGCAGAATTAATATTCTGATTGTTTGGCCTATTTTATTACTATGAATGTATCTTACATTAGAGGGGTTCACAATTGAACTTCAAGTGATTTTTATGGTGTTTTTGAGCAACATTTTATGAATTTCTTTGAGTTTTTCCAATTTATTAATTTCTGAACCTTCTGTACATCACAAAAAAATTGTACATTCATGATCAGAAACACCTTAAAAATGGCCTTAAAGTTCAATCTTGAACCCCCCTATTGGAATTGGAATTTCTTTTTGCAATGTTAATGTTTATACAAGGTTCTTCAATATCTTCAAAGGCCTTGATCATGAAAGAATCCAATACTGTTTCAAATTATGTTTCACATATTACACTGATCTTTTTGAGGCCATCTTTATCATCATTCTGCTAATTGATGTGCCTTTTATCACCAGGAAATCTCTCAAGTATCCTAATTAATCCAATCCTGTTCTCCCTTTCATTTAAAACCCCCCTCTGACCCCAAAAATGGGGGCTATGCCCTCGTCTACACATAATTAAATTTGTTCACTCACCAATCTGAGACCTTGGCATATCCCTTTTTGGTATTCATAATAACCATCCTTTCAACCTTTACCTTCCCTTTCAGAAAGCTTCATAGTTGATTGAAATATCTAGAACAAATCTTGCTTAATGATGGATCAATTATGAGCCTGCAGACAAGTGCAAGCTGAGTTCTGTTGTGCCAAGTCAGGTTAATGGTGATGAGTGTATATCTTTTGGTCCATTTGATGGGCTACATACATAAATAGTGAACAGAACAGCACCATACAACATTCCAGGGAGCATTAATGCAGAAAGAATGCTCCACAACCGTCTTGGGCTTGGCTGATCAAGCGATGCTCATGAGCAACCACGACCTCGCACTCTGCAGGCTGCGCGGAGAGATCCGCATCCTGTGGCGTGTCACCGATCCCCGGAAAATCCCCCGGCCTCGGCCCGCATCTTTTTTTTTTTTTTCTTAAAAACCCGGCGCGTGTGATCAGGTCCAAGGTGTCTTTAGGATCCGACCAAGCTGCGTTTTCATCCCTGCCCCTGCCTCCTGCAAAGATAAGACTTGGGCGTGCAACTCTCACCACCAACAACAACAACGACAACGACGACGACGACGACGCCCGATTGGATCACGGAAGCTCTCTCCACTCGACCTCATCTTCTTGGCTCATATAGTATAATATATCTGTCTCTGTTCTTCTGTGTCCTTCACGGCCATCAGGCTTCCGCAGAGAGAAAGAGAATCTCGGACGCGAGTATTTGTGGACACGATGGTCGCTTCTACGCTCGCACCAACGAAAGAAAGTTACGAGGAGATCCGGCAACGGAATATCGCAGCTAGTAAGTCATCCATTTCACAACAGGGGTTTTTATTTTCTCTCTCTCTCTCTAAAAGCTTATGGCGTGATAAGGAAATTGATACATGGGAGTCAACAGATCGCAGTTTATTGCTGTCCTTACAACTCGCCGGCGCCTGGGTTCGGACCGACGGTGATACTCCAGGGCGAATCCCCAACCACACAGCGACGACCGAGACGAGCGAACGGACGAAAACAGCAAGACGCGGGCAGAGAAGAAGCGACGGAAGTCGACGCGGCGAGAGGCGGAGCAAGCGGCGGAGGGGGAGGGGGATGAGAAGCCGCAGGAGGAGGCAGGCTCGCGTCGACGGAGTGGCCGGATCCAGAAGCTGCAAGCACGGAAGCAGAACAAGCTGGCTGGAGTGGAGGATGAGCGCTCGGAAGGCTCGGAGGAGTCGGAGGACGAATATGATGATCAAGATGGGCCTGATGGAGGCGACTCTTCTGACGGCTCGGAATCTAAGGAAATCTCCCGCAAACGCAAGTCGACCTGGAAACCGCCCTCGGGACCTAAACGTCCTCGTGGCTCCCTTCCCCCTCAACGTAAAGCTAAAAGCTTGAAAGGTCATCGTCCGAATCCGAAAATCTTCGGTCAGCAGGTCGGCACCGAGGTTGGCGATTGGTGGGACTCTCGGATGTTGTGCTCGCAGGTCAGTGTTTTTTTCTCATCCCCTCTTTTTTTGTTTTGAGTCACATAGAAAGTTTTCTGAGCTTTCTAGAACCATCTGTTTTATTATTATTATTATAATTAGGCTGGTGTGCATGCCCCACCAGTTTGTGGGATTGCGGGTAGCGACGGGGTGGGCTGTTACAGTGTAGCGTTGAGTGGGGGATACGAGGACGATGTGGATCTGGGCTATGCGTTCACGTTTACGGGCTCGGGAGGACGGGCGTTGAGCGGGACGAAGGAGAACCCGAAGAATCTCCGGACGGCGCCGCAGAGCTCGGACCAGGAGTTCACGGCGATGAACGCCTCGGTCCGACTGTCCTGCGAACTCAAGAACCCGGTCCGAGTGATCCGTGGGTTCAAGAACCATAGCCCGTTTGCTCCCGAATCAGGTTATCGTTACGATGGCCTCTATAGGGTCGAAAAGGCTTGGAGAGAGGCCGGTCAATCCGGCTTCCAAGTCTGCAAAGTTTGTCCACTCTCATCTCATCGACACCCCCCCTTTTTTTCTGCAATAAGGTTGTGCTGACAGATTGATGGCAGTTTGCATTTGTTAGATTACCCAATCAGCCCAAGATTCCAGTCAAACCGGGGCGAGAAGCGGAGGCGGAGCAAATCTTACGGGACATGGGTATCGCGACGGAAGAGCTGCTGGAGATTGTTGCGCAGACCCAAGAATGGACCCAGAAGCTGGCCAAGCAGAGGATAGAGGAGCAGCGACGACAGAGGCAATGCGCGACGGAGGCTGGCGGTGCAGATGGGAAGGACGAGCAGCCAGAAGAGACGGCCGATCCAGACGCAGAGGGGCCGGTGAAGGCCGTTGCAGATGCAGCAACAGAGGATCCAGTCGAGACTTCTAAACTCACCCCGTCCCCTCAAAACACCCAGGACGTCGGGTCGAGCAGCTTGGAGCCCGAGCGCTGTTCCGACAAACCAGCCGAGCCAAACCAGCCAGTTGATGATCAAGAAGCTCATCCTGCCGCGCCGAGATCGCCGAAAGCCGTGCCCGACGAGCCCGCGGTACTATCATCAGTCGAGAAGACCGGCGATGAGGCGGATCCCCCTTCTGGCGAGGAGTCGGCCACCAAGACTGTCGACGATGGCCGATCTGCTCTGGAGACTGATCTAGGAGGACCAGAGAGAGTGGCTTCGTTGCCAGACAAGCACTCGGCCTCCAAGCCGGTGCCCGAGAAGACCCCTTCCGCCACGGTCCCACTAGTCGAGTCTCTGGACAAGGAGATGGCGACTGTTGCCTCTGATTCTGAGGTTGTGGTCAATGATGACTGATTCCCCCCCTTTTTTTTATTGATAACTCACGGCCAGATGATCAGCTTGGAATGCAATGCGTCTTGTTTTTTCTTTTTCTTTTTTTTGTTTCTCCTGTTGGCCTGCTCTCCCTGTCTGTTTGCTTGTTTGCTTGCTTGCTTGATTGATTGAAGTTGTGTCTGTTGTTGGCAATGAGAGTATATGTGAACAAGGGACTATGTATACTGTACATACACAGGGTCTCCTCCATACATACTCCAAGGGTTCCTATCTTGAATATTTAAAAGAAGCCAACTCGCCGGACTTCTTCCCCAACCAAAAACCAAAAACCAAAAACCAAAGCCACCATCAACCATCTTTGCATTCTTGAACCCACAACAAGATCAAGATGGTCTGCTTGATCGATCTGCCCAACGAGATCCTCATCAACATCTTCTCACTCCTGCCCAGGCACAACACAGACTGGCTCCACCAACTCATCAGACTCAGCAGAAACACCAAACCAACAACCGAACTCAACGCATACCACCAAATCACCCTCAACAACCACCAGACCATCAGATCACTCTCCAAAACACTCAGAACCAAACAACCCCAACTAGCACCACTCATACACCAAATCACACTCATCTCATCATCAACAGCAACAACAGCAACAGCAACAACAACTGAATCAAAAACTATCCACGATGAATCAATGACCTTCTTCGCATTCACCGCACTACTCAGACACTGCCATCGGATCAACCATCTCCAACTAGAGCTAGACGGAACCAACCGATTCGAACTCACCCAACTCTTCCAAGCCATCTCAGACTCAAAAACCGCACAGAACATCAACTCACTCGTCTACCTCACCCGATCACCCATCCAAGCCAACCAGCCCGACCTCTCCCAACTCATCTCAAACCTCACCGCACTCAAATCACTCTCCATCATCGGAAACATCAGATACCACCACCACCACCACACCTGCCACCACCACCACAACCCCTTCTACTATCGCCAACTGCCCTCCCCACCTCCCCCGATCCAGTCCATCCTCCTCAGCTCCTCTAGGCTCACTAACAGCTCCAAGAACCATCTCCGGAACTTGCTCAGATCGGTCTCCAAGACCCTCCTTAAACTCACTCTCAACCAGACCAGCGGGCTCAGCTATTCAGCCCTCTTCGACTTCACCGAACCCATCCAAGCCACTCTAGAACACTTGGAACTCATCGGCAACTTCTGTAACCCCATGAGGATCCAATCTACTACTACTACTACTACCACTTACCATCCTTTGCCATTTCATCCCGATTGGAGCTTGTTCGTCGCTAGATTCCGCATCCTCAAGTCGCTCAAATTGGTCAATAACTTCCATTGGATAACTCCCATACCCGTCCCCATCTCAACCCAGCAACCATCCTCCGCCTCCACCTCATCATATCATCCACTCTCTTCATCTTCTACCCATCATATACCCTCCTCACTCAACCCCCCGTCTGATGACCAAAGCATGACCAACGATATCCAGCTTCCCCAGCCGGGATCGATCGTTCATACCCATTATCTCGACTTCAAGAGCCTCGAACTCCTCCCCAAGTCGATCGTCCAATTGGTCATCCGAAACCATCCGAAACCGCTACTCAATCACCACCATCATCTTCACCATCATCATCTTCATCTTCATCAAGATCGACGAGCGGAAGAGTTTTTGGAAGAAGACCAAGATGATCAAGAGGAACATCATCATCAACAACAAGATGATGATGATGATGAGGAGGAGGAGGAGGAGGAGGGCGATGAGCAAGTCAGATTTGCCAGGTTCATAGACGCCCATCTCGACCAACTCGGGCTAGCCAACCCTGCTCGGAATGCACACCCGTTCCTGCTCCCGCCTTCCTTCTCCCATCTTCCTCCTGCCCCTGCCCCCGCTCCTCCAGCTCCTCCGTTCCATCCTCTCTTCAACCCTTCTTCCTCCTATTCTTCGGCCCTCATCCATCATCATCTCCATCATCTTCACTGCCACTGTCTCGCCCATCTCGTCCACCTCAAAATCGCTAAGCTCTGGAGTCATCTCGAGAACCTCAGTCGGTTCGACTTCGATCATCGAGCGCTCATCAGACCCCCGTCTCCGCCGCCTCCTCCTCCGACCTCTCCATCTCATCCTTAACCTCTTTCCCCCCCTTTCTTCTTTTCTTGCACTTCTTCTTCTTCTTTTTCTTTCACGTTGTCTTCTGCTTCTCCATCGAATTCTTCTTCTTCTTCTTCTTCTTTCTTCTTGGTTTTTTTTTTTTTTTTTTTTTTTTTTTTTAGTGGTCAATACAGCCGACGATATCGGCTGTATGACTTCCAAATCTTCCTTTTCTTCCACATCCTTCCCCTCTCTCCTCTCCGGTCCACGTCACCCCTGAAATGCCTCCCCCAGCTAACCTCCAGCCAACCACAACCCCCGATCGGCACCGACATCATCCATCCAATTTCGGAATTGATTTCAAGGTCATTCGGTTTCAATCCAAGCTTGATTCGATCCAAACCTATCATTATCCAACCCAATACGACGAAACTCTTCTGTGTAAGCTCGATTCACTCAATGAGGCCGCTCCCTGCCCTACACTTTGAATGAGTGGCTGATTGACATCAGCAGGTTTTGTTACAGTCGATATGGTCTATGTGCTATACCAACGTGACGTCAAGTTCATCGTGGTCCGAATGGTCTTGCGTGGGCTGTCCCAAGCTGAGATCAACGAATCGCTTGGCCTCAACATTTCGCCTGATTCATTCCGCCGTTGGAATGAACTCTATCGGGAGACTCGAGATGTAGTGCGCGACCCGGCGTTGTACTTGGATCGAGGTCGTCCTTTAGCCTTAACCCGCGAAGAGGGCCGGTTTGTCTTGGAGGCTCTTGAAGAAGAGCCGACGCTCTACCTGGACGAGATCCAATCTCACATCGAGGCCTTGACGGGCATCCGCCACCCCTTATCGACCCTCTCGGACGAGTTGAAGAGGCGACTAGGGATGACCAAAAAGGTGGCCCGGACGGTGCATCCTGCCCAATGTCCGATCAGGCGGGCCGAATACATAGTCCAGATTGGACCATTTCCAGCAAACTACCTGGTATTCTTGGGTGAGTCTGACTCTGAATGTGGTTTTGTGATTGACTGACTTATGACTTCTGCTTCCATCAGATGAGTGCGCGGTGTCTGTTCGATCCCACTCCCGCGACCGAGCTTGGGCCCCGCGGGGGCGTCGCACACGTCGGCTGCCCAGGCCTCTTCCAACTGGACGGCTTAGTGTATTACCCGCCGTATGTCTCGATGGTTTGTTGGCTATAATGTGCCAACCCGGTTCGATTATTCGATGGGATTTAGAATTTTTCTTGGCCGATGTCTTGGTGAGTGCGAGGCCGCTTGTTTCTGGTGGGATGTTTGACCAACGCGCTGATGGCCTGATATCCTCCTCAGCTACCCCGGATGAATCCTTTCCCCGGACGTAACAGCGTGGTTGTGATGGATAACGCTCAGACGCACCATAATGGACGCATCGCCGAGATTTGCGAAGCTGCAGGGGTCCTGCTGATTTATCTTCCGCCCTATTCACCCGACTTGAACCCTATCGAAAAGGTGTTCTCGGTACTCAAATCCCAGCTGAAGAGAAACCGCCTGCTCACCGGCGATGATAGAGATCCTGACCGCATCGAGGAGCACATGGAACGCATGGTGACTCCTGAGTTAATGCGCTCGCTATTCCTCGGAAGCGGTTACGAGGGGCAGTAGCCGTTCGTCTTGGTCACATTTGGCCTCTGGGCCTTAATAAATTTGTAGCTCTGTTATGTGATGGAGCGTTCTTCTCTAATTCTCATGCTTGACTAGACAATATACATCGTCTTTTTGTTGTTGTCGTGAACCGTCAGACAATGAGGTAATCATAATCAACGTGGGATTTACCAGCCATGATTCAGAGGCGTGTGCCGTTCAACTCGGGCTTGAGATCCGAGAGTCACTTGATCTGAGGGGCCCGATGATTCAGAGGCTTGTGCCGTTCAGCTCGGGATAGAGATCGCAGAGTCACTTGATCTGAGGGGTCGGCTGCCTGCTTATTTGGCTTATGGACATCTTAGAAGGATGGCTTGTTTGGGGGTTGGATCCTCAGACAGAGTCACTCGTGCCATCAGCGATGGCAGGTATCATATGAGCAGCTGAGGCGCATTCTTCAGCAGGGCGCGCCCTTTGTGGTAGATGAGTCATCGGTGTTTGATTACTTCTGCCCTCATCTTAGGGAATCAATCTGGTTTAGGCTATATACAATAAGATACGATAAGATAGTCGGCGAGCGATCCACACAATGGGCCCGTCGGCTTTATGACTTATCAATCATTTATGGGGATAACATCACTCATTTATGTATGGGGGTAACACAACGCGGTAACAAGCTTAGACTATAGCATATTCCGGACACAAGTCATGAATTTTAGGTATTTTGAAGGGTAAGTAGAGAAAAAAAAAAAAGGGCATCGATAACAGAATAAGGACACTTCGCATGAGAGTTGGGTATGATGAATAAGATCTAGACTATCCGATTGGCATCAAGCCATGGGGCTGGCGGGGTCGGCGCGGGCGTCGGCACTGTCTGTGTTCGGGGCATTGGCCTGAGTATGAGTAGCTTCTAACCCGCGGGCCCCCTTGATGAGTTGCTTGGCAATCGGGAAAGGGAAACCCATGCCTTGCAATTCGCATATGGTCGTGTCGCAAAAGAAATCCCAGTGTCGGATGTGGGTGACGTCAATGAGGACTCGAGGTACCATGTCATTAGCCTCGAAGTTGCAGAGCCCGAGGAATTCCTCCATTCGAAGGGTGCGACCCGCCTCGTTCAAAGGAGGACCATCCGTCTCTGCCTCCTGGGCCGGGGCCTCAGGTGCGGGTGAGCCCGCCAATACCCCAGCCGCCGGAGTGGCACCCGGATCCTGATCGGTCAGAGTGGTCCCCGGGTGGTGCAATGGCAACTCGCGAGTGGCCCCCACTTCCTGGACGGGCGGAGTGGGAACCGGGTGGTGCGATGACGAGTCGGTTTGATTGGCCTGATGTGGCCTATTGGTGTCAAAGTCCAGG